GGAATGAGACGATATCAACCATATGCTTAGTATTCCAGTAGGAAGGGAAGCCCATGAAGAACTGATATTTTTAAATTCTGCTGAGATTGCACAAAACCCTGAAGCCTGCAACCTCAAAGAGACGCTCGCGAAATCACACTGCATAACATTACTTCCTTGCAGATCATGAAAAAGAAGAACCTAATGACACTCACTGTGGATGGTAAAAGCAACTTGAACATCATGAAGAAGAGCAAGAAGCATGAAACTGTCACCAAAGATCCGATCTACCTTGGTGGTGTGCCGGAGTCTGTTACCAACAAAGGCCTGGAAACTCGAGGTAGTACCCTTTTTACGATCTTTTTCACCTTACAGTATTTGAGGTCTCATTTTTCAGAGCCATACGTCGGCTGCATGCATATCATGAGTCTGGGAGGTGGTAAGAAGGACAAGATGAGAAGAAAGAAGCAGCTTGACGTCTCCACATTGGACATCTACGGTGACGTGAACAAGCAGGAATGTCCGCTCAACTGATCAATATGTTCACAAATTTTATGTAGCTTTATCACAACATTGCTTTAACTACTAGTAGTACAATAAGTAAGTAGTACAATGTGTAAAGAGCTTTTTCTATGATGCTATTCCGCTTAAGCTAAGTACAAACTGTTTTCATATAGTATTCGTCAATTTTTCCTGTATTCGTTCTACATATATTATTTGTTCTAATTCCCGTGCTTCTTGCCTTAATTTTTCTCTTCATTTTCTTTGTATCTTTAATTTTCTTCTGGAAAATAAAGGCTTTCGAGCACGCTTCGCAACATCTTAGAAAATTCGGAACGGTAATTACAATACTGGTTACTATTGAGTTATTTACTCAGATATCACTTTCAGTAGACTTAGACTAGACTTGCCTTATATTTTCCTCATGCTTTTTAGGTGATATAGGTTTCTTTGGAAATTCCTTGGGTAGCGTTCATTTCTGGGCGCCCAAAGGGACGTTACTGCGAGGGCCGAGGCAGGTGGATAGGAGGCAGACTAGGCATGAAAATATGTAACCATACGCACCACAACCGCAAATCGACAGACGAACTTGGAAGCTGTTGCCTTCCGATGTGGACTGTAAATAATCATGAGAATGGCTTAAGAGCCTTAAACAGGCCACGGGATTCAAGCTGCGGTGCAGAAACTATCTTAGCGCGCATACCTAACTACAGTCTTCTTCGCGGCACCCCTAAACATACTCTTCTGTGATGCGGATGATGGGCGTGTCAATGAGGATTGGTTTGACACCCACGAGCTGTTGAAGTGGATACGGGACAAATATTTTTGGCCGCAGCAAATTGCAGGCTGTAAGGCTGACTCGTTCACTGTGGCAGACCCAGATCAATCAGATGGGTCTGTACGAGGGTCTTGCCCGCGGAGCCACTTGAACGGCCCACTGTCACAAGTCGGATTTCTTCGTCGACTCAGCTCCTCTGCATCACATACTTCTCGTCCCCATACGTGCACAGAAGCAGTCAGCTGCCTTATTTCACAATGTGCGACCTGCCTCATATAAACCCTCACTGCTTCGAGAAGAATGCTCTCATGTTGGTCGAGCTCCGCCATATGCGCGGAGTGTATGCTGCGCATCTTTCCGACCAAGCCTTTTTGACTTTAGAGAACTTCACCGTAACGAAGGACGTTCTCTTTCTCAAAGAGTCCAACGGAACAGATTGAGAAGCAGAAAAATTTGACAGTGAAACAAATTCGTGCAGAAATAAGGTGTTTAGCAGTGATCAGTCGCTTTCCGGGATGCTCCTTATCATCAGGTTCGTCTCCGAATGAGAATGGTAGAGGTCTATTGGCTTGAGCTTTGCTTCGAAGTTTTCTTGCTCTTTAGCTTCGTGAATTCACTTATTTTCAGCACATTTCCATGACTTCAGAATCACTATCAGACTACAGGTTTCATTATGTTTGTACATGAAAATATGTAGCCGGTATTTGAATGGAGCAGCCATTATAGACTATACATTATTACAAATACTTGAAACTCGATATGTGGGGGGGAATTTGATGAGCTTGCCTACTTATTATGTCTCCATCGCCAGCTGTTCCTGCGAAGCTTTCACTAGCGAATCTTAAAAACCACACCCACCTCCGGGACAGGAACTGAGCCATGACCGTCGTGAGAGATTCAGTTTTGGCCCTGTTCAAAAGGATGAGCTACAAGCCAAGCTCTGCATAGTCACTTCAGCGAGATGTGGGTTGGTGGTCTGCGCAGTTCAAGGTCGCGCTCGTGCCCGAAGGGCAGCAGTGGACCTCAACGCTAAGGGAAAATCATCGCTGGAGAGTCTGCGGTTGTGGATGATGTGGGAGGGTCAATGTCATGTTGATAAGAGAAAAATCAGCATTCTGCTCTGTTGAAAGGTTGGCATTTGGTAGGTAGTGAGATTTCAAAACAATAGTGTCGGTTCTGGTTGGCCTCCCTATCGTCGCGAAAATCATAGACAGGCACACTGAACAAACCCTCCTCGCTCTATACGCCGTCATAGGTGAAAGCGCTGTAAATTACCACAACCAATCCATGGCTCGCAAAATTCCGTAATTTACAATTGTATACAGAAAACGGCAGTTAACTTCACCATAAAGCACATCCATCTCCATCGTGAACATAAAGTGCATAGAGCAGCCGGCATCACTTGCACCTTTGATGTGAAGCTTACGTGCATTTTCCGCGAGCAGTTGCCGCGCTCTAGCGCCAATTGTCCTACTGTAGCGGGGCAGTGATGACAGCGTCCTTTAAACTCCATTTTGAAGCATCAAGTTAAGCTCTTTGTTTGTGTCTTTTTCACTGTTTGTTGGGATTGCTTTCTATTTTTCTTTGTAATACGAGGTATTATCCCAGTTGTCATGGGAGGTGGTACTCGTAAAGCATGAGTGCAATTCTTATCTGTTAAGTATCCAATTGTTTTTGTCGTATCATTTGCAATTCACTCAGTTTGGTTGCAGTTCATTTTGCTGTGAGACTTACTACGTTGTAGGATGGTGGAGTCGACAGGTCCTACGGTTGTTGCACCTGCTGAGGACGAGAAATCCCGTGCCCTTACAAACTATAGGAAGAAACTGGTGGAGTACCGAGACATTGAGCAGCAGCTGAAGCAACTGCGAAAGAAGGTTTGTCCAGACTAGATTAATCAGCGTTTCGAGATTTGGTCGTTGAAATGGAATACGTAAGCACACGAGCACATAAGCTCAAATAATACAATTTTCATACGGGAGGTTTTACGATTCGTATCCTAGGCTGTAATTCCTTTATACATTGTTTTTTTCTCGGTCCTCACCTTAAGCCAAGTGGTTCAGGAAGCCGAGACGCAGAAAAGTTTCGACAAATCCGAAAATGATATCAAGTCGCTGCAATCAGTGGGTCAGATCGTGGGCGAGGTGCTCAAACAGCTCACCGAGGAGAAATTTCCATCCAGTTAAGCTGAGCTTTGCCCCGTCATGTCCGCTTTTCGGATTCTTTGTCTCCATATTTTTATACCTTCAGGCCACTAATGGACCCAGATACGTGGTTGGCTGTCGCCGTTCAATCAACAAAGAAGCCCTCAAGCAGGGTACTCGTGTAGCTCTTGATATGACCACACTCACTATCATGTTAGTTTTTCTTTCTTGTAAACGTAATTTTTCATTCTTGTGGCAGCGTTCATACTTCGCGATCCGTTCGAGCGATTCGATCGATCATATCGCGAAAAGTATGAACGCGCTATTGCCATCGATACAACACATTATCTTACGACTTGGGCATGTTTCTTGTTTGTTGTAATCGTCTTAATTGTTTGTGCTTTCGAATGTGATAAGTTCCACATATTTGGTGACCTAACATTTCGGCCTGACCATGGTCTTCAGGGACCTATGCCAAACCCTCAGGCGGAAAAGTCCGCTGACTTTTGAGCGTTACCTGGTGTGAACCTTGTATTAACAACTAAGCAGCGCTTGATACATGGGACTTTTCCGCTTGAAAGGGGAATCGTCTGTCTCTGAAGAAAGCCGAAGCAGTGAGCCACCAAATACCTAACAACCTTGCAAGGCACGAACAAGTAACGCGAACTACAACGTTTGCTTATTCCCGAACAGCTTGTAACTGTATGAAACTGTAGTAAATACACTATTTAAAGGCGTCAGCTGCCTCGAGAAGTGGACCCCTTGGTTTACAAGATGTCGCACGAGGATCCTGGTAACATCACTTATGCTGATGTCGGTGGCCTGGCAGAGCAGATTCGTGAACTTCGAGAGGTTGGACATATCTTCAATTACCATATAACTGATCCACCTTCGCTTCTGACTATTCAACTCTGAAGTCCTAATTTTTGCTGGAGCTTCACCTATATTTGTTCCAGTACTTTGTTCGCAGAAATAATCGTGCTTCGGACGGTGGTACCGATTGTTCGCTTGAAAGGGGGATCGGTCAGTACGGATACCACCATTTCACACACCCTGATGTTGACCCTCCGCCTCCCCTCAGTTTAGCAAACTTAGCAGATTTAGCCTTTGGAAAACTCCTTTTGTTTTGGTGCCTTATCATGCTGGTGCCGAAGAGAGGACCATATTCGTGAGCGGGGTCAAGCAGTCTGTGCATGTAAGCTCACAATGGTTTGTGTGAAAATATAGCGTCGCCAAAATGGGTGCCTTATGTGAGTAGAGCAGCAAACCTTCGGAACGATTCCACCGAAAACTTGGTTTGCTACTCCTCTCTCCTCTGAAACCGAATACTTTGCAGGCGGTTTTGTTTTGTGTTTGCACTGCACACACTGCTCTTTCATCATAGAATTTCGTATCCGGAATGGCTCGCGTTAAAGTAGTTGAAGCTAATGAAAAATTACAAATGTGTTATAGATATACAATTTTGTTTCATTGTGGAATGAAAGGTCCACAACGAAAACAAAACTTGTCAAAAAGGCGGTGTCCGAATTTACAGTTTGCCTGTTGCAGCGTGTCGAGCTGCCACTGATCAATCCAGAGTTGTTCCGACGTGTCGGCATTACTCCTCCGAAAGGATGTCTATTGTATGGACCTCCTGGAACGGGCAAAACGCTCCTTGCAAGGTGTGTTGATCTTTTCCTTGAGGTTTCGTGTGATAATTTCATAGTTTTAACTGGCGTTGAGTTTTGTCTCTAATTTTAATTTTGCTCTGGTTTCCAGAGAGCTGTAGCGTCATCAGTTGGATGTAATTTTTTTTTCCCGTTTTTGAAAAGTAGTTTTTCCTCTCTGCAATTGTTGACAAATATATCGGCGAGTCTGCTCGAATGATTCGTGAAATGTTCAATTATGCTCGCGATCATCAACCCTGCATCGTATTCATGGACGAAATTGATGCTATTGGTAAGTTCATGACTTACACACTTCTGCCTGTGATAGTGTATAGTTTCATACTTCCTTTGTCGTACTTTATTGGGTACTGTTTACCCTTTCCTACCCCAACCATCTAGCAGTTGCATCCAGGAGTTGTGCCAGTTTCTGACCGACTTTTTTCTCCGGGGAGATTTGGCTAGAAGTTATCCACCAGGGTAGTTTGACCTCCTGAATACGAATATCACAGTCGCTTGGCCTGAAACTTCCTTGCGACCAGCGCTATCTTTGGGGTGTTTCGGCCGCAGCGCTTGTAGCGTAGGAACGTCAAAGAGGTTTTGTGTTGAGCGGGATGTGACACTCATGTTCAGGAGGTCACATTACCCCTGGTAATAATTTTCAGCCAATTCTGCCAACGCAGAAAAAAGTCGTTTAGAAGCTGGCCCTGGGTGTTTTGAAGATTGGAGTGAAGCGGTGAATAGTGCCCGTTCACTTATATGTTTCGTTACGTCCGAATAAAGCTTACTGGAAGACATATCTTTCTTCTTTAGTTGTCTCATCACAGAAGCGTGTGTTCATAAGATTCATTTTTGAAGCAGGGCGTCCTGACTTTAGATGTCGATATGAGAGGCTCAGTATCGAGCTGCGTAGAAACAAGGTCCTAATCTACGTAGCTTGCCATGCTTTTAGTATTAAAATCTCCTATTCTTCTTCTCCTTACCTCCAAATGGATTGTTGCATTGCGTGCTTTTTTTATTTCTCCTATTCTCCGATTTCCCTACCTCCTTGCAGTAAACGTAAAAAAATGAGCTGCCTTGTAATTGTATGAATATGCAGTGGTGGCGATGTCCGTGCGTACTTCTTTTGGTGGGAACCTGGAGAGGTAACCAATTCGAACTTAAGTTAGCAATACCCTAATTTTTCGGAGGTTTTCGAACGCACGCGAATGTTCGCTCGTCCATTACGGCTTTTTTCTTTGTTCCTGTCCTCTCTAATTCACTATGGTATTTTTCTTTGTTGTCGTCTTTTTAGGCAATTTTATTCGATAAGAAGTGTTTGATAAAGCTACTGAACTGAGCAAAAAGACTAAGTAAGGTGCTGCTGTATCAAAAAAGTTCTGTGCGCGTTTTCAGTGCGTCTGTGCGGCCTTGTCAATACGTGCGCCCTGTACGCCTGAAATAAGGATGCTTTTTTATATGAAACTTGATGTCAAAGTGAACATATGTCGTTGTTCTTAATGGTAAAACGGTCATCGTTTTGTGGAAGCATCTACCGGAATAAAATGTGCCGCCATTTTATTTCATTTTTTGTTCTAAGGAATACGGTATTTTGTTAGATATAGCGGGGGGTGGGTAGAGAAAGCATGTTTTTGTTCATATTGTCTCTTGATTTTCATGCTAAAATACACATTCAGGTGGTCGCCGATTCTCCGAAGGCACGTCAGCTGATCGTGAAATTCAGCGAACGTTGATGGAACTGCTCAATCAGTTGGACGGTTTCGATTCGCTGGGAAAAGTCAAAGTAAGTGATATCATCTAGCACCTGCTACATCATCCTGGATAGGCACCTCGCTTGGACATGGTTCTTCAACGAGGAGTTCAGTATCCTCATTAACCTCAGTGATCCTTCCTTTTAGGTTATCATGGCAACAAATCGACCCGATACTTTGGATCCCGCCCTATTGCGTCCCGGACGTCTTGATCGTAAAGTCGAAATTCCGCTCCCGAACGAACAAGCCAGGCTTGAGGTGTGTTTCAGTTTCATAATAATTCATATCGAAGAAGTTTTCAATTCATCCTGGTCTTGCTTCTTCAGGTTCTTAAAATTCACGCAAATCCGATAACAAAGCACGGTGATATCGATTACGAAGCAGTTGTTAAGTTATCTGACGGGTTTTCTTGTGCAGATTTGCGTAATGTGTGCACAGAAGCAGGTATGGTCATGCTTGTTACATCTGTCTTTCATGACGTAAGAGGATCACTTTTTCATTTAAGGTCTTTATGCGATTAGGGCCGAACGGGAGTATGTTATTGAAGAAGACTTCATGAAGGCAGTGAGAAAGGTCTGCTCTTCATCTTACTATCGGTTGAAGCGCTAAATTACTACTGAATTTAGTGCTGTGAGGGTTTGATATTTTTCTTGCTTCAATTCAATGGAGTGTTTTTCAGGTCGGTGACGCAAAGAAGCTCGAAACGAAGCTTGATTACAAACCTGTCTAGTCTAATATTAGCTGGATGGTTTGATTAAAATGTATGAAGAATGCGTGGTCATTAAGCTTAACCTAAATTATTTGTCACAATAGCGTTAACCTTCAAGTGTTTTCGTTTCCAAGTTTTTCGTTTGCAGCGTCCTCTCTAAGACACCAGTAAGTGTGATCTGCACAACTTTTATATCTTTTCGCTGCGGATGATGGGGTGTGTCACGAGGGCTGGGTTTGGCACGACACTAGCCTGTTCTCCACCAGATGTTGAAGGGGGCATGCGACAACAAAATGGTAGAAATGGGGATGGTGCTGCGCCGGACCCGGCCCACCCCCTGACACGCCTGAGCATACGCAGCGAACAAACTACTTAATCCATTCAGCCTAGTTTCTACTCAAATTTATACATTACATGTTATAACCGTAATCAGCGCAAGTAGTAGAAGAAGAAATCGGGAATCTTCGTGGGAGGCCGAAGTGCAATCCCCTGCTGCAAATACGAAGTCCGTAGGAGTTCGTGTAACGTCCTGACTTTTCATGCCTTCTAGGCAGGGCACATCCGTCGCGTTGTGATCATTTTATCAAAAATTACGACGACCTCCCCTCCTCATTCCATACTAAAATACGACCCCCTTTTTGGGAGTTGGTACGACCCCCTCCCAGCCCTCTGTCCTTCCTCATCGAACCGAGCCGTCGAAGGGGGAGGGGGGGAAGGGGAGGTCGTCAGAATTAAACTATCATTTTCAAGTGTCGGAAATAGTAGTGCGTCCGTGAACTGACCAAATACGACCCCCCTCCCAAAAATGACCAAGTACGACCCCCCCCTTTACAGCGTCCGTGATAATAAGAGTTGCGCCCCCCTGCTCGTCGGCGTCAAATACGATCCCCTCCCCCTTGTGAAGATCACAACGATGGCGTACCCTGCTTCTATTATAGGTCTAGTAACTGACGACCTGGTGCAAGACTGGGCACAGAACGCTTGGTGGTGGGGCAGGAGATGAGATTCAAGGGAGAGTGTATTGACTACCTTCTGAAAGACTGCTAATTCCTGTAACTACAGTGAATTACTTGTACAACGTCGCAGCATTACAAGAGTTTATAAGTTTCACTAAAGTGAGACCTATCAGTTACCATAAACCAGCAAAAGGAACTAGCGGATGTGTAGAATGCCCCCACTTAGCCGAAGGGCGACTAAGGCAGCTACAAAACTTTCGTGACCAGGTCCCGAACCTTGCTTCAACATGAAAAAACTTCCTTTTTGGGCAGAATTCTCTTGCACCTGCATTTTGTTTTGGTGGATTGTTTAGATTTGCTTCTCCAGTGTGAGACAGATGCAATATATTTTTGGGGGCTCGCTGCTGTACTTTCAACTGCTTTTCGTCGAAGAACATGAGTCAAGCAAAATACCATCAAGGTGTGCCTAAATGTGCCATATTTAATTGGGTACGTAAAGGTGGCACTATCTTGAACGATTAGCTGCGAAGAGGGGATATATTATATGAAGTTTAACAAGCTATTAGTGAGGCTGTCGATTTGTCGATTGGACCGTCATTGATAACAGGACATTTGAATGAGGGTTTTAACTGCGACGCAGTTACCATTGCATGAGTCTTTGGAGGCAAACTCCCTTCAAAAATGGTCAGTTGCATGACTCAAATGCTAGTGACAAGATGGCGAATAACACAAAAGTGAAGAAAAAGTGGAGAAATTATGACTGGTTCACTTGAAACCTCATGCTAAACCGCGCATGTTCGTGCATAAGGCGCACGAAGAAGGGCAGTATTCGAGCAAGTCCTCTTTTGTTGGTGACGACTCGGAGAGAGCTAGTAGCCGAGCAATCGTCTCATCAGAGCCTTCAGCAATGAAAATGGGCGTGTCCGTGACCAGTGGGCTGGGCCGTGGCCTTGTCATGAGCATGTTGTGCTTTCCTCTCGTACTTTCCGAGCTGCAATAGAACGTCGCACATAGTATATATTCTATAAAGTACATATTACATCCTCCATGCTTGCGACAGTACGTACCGACGTCCAAAGAGGGCGTTGGACATACTGTCGCAAGCGTGGAGGATGTAATATGTACACAAT